CTTTTTAAATGTTTCCTGCAAATCAGAATTCTTTGCTTTTGGGGAGTCCACTTTCAAATAGGAAAACTGAGGGCACTGGTTGGTGTTGCAGTGGGGCAGAGAGTCACAAAAAGTTCCCCCTGTTTTGACCCTTTCCAAAGCTTTCTGCATAACACAGCATTCCCTACGATGCCAATAACACTGACCATAGCATTCTGACTTGTAGAAAACATTTAAAAAGATCCACAGCAGCAGGCAGCGGTTCTGCCTTTTCTATGAAGCTTTCGGCAAATGAAACTTTTTCTCCTTCTTCCCTTATCTTACAGAGATCACTTCTGATGATGGTAAACTAAGATACCATTTTTTGACCCCACTTGACTTCCCACATGGACTGAGCAGTCAGCATTTGTATTCTGTAAATGTCATGTTCCATAAGTTTCTGTCATTTAGTACATGATACAATGGCCGAGAAAAATCAAATCAAGGCACTTCTGAACAACAGCATCATCAGATGAGGATCATCAGGCAAGATACTGATAGAATCTTCTGCCATCCCACAGAGCATGCATGTTACCTTCCATGTTACTTCTGGGGAATAACACAGCTGAGGTGCAACAATCGGCTCACCTGCGTGAATCAGCTGAGAGGATATAAGTAAATGAGGCACAGGGGGCAGGCGGCCCAACCTGGTCATCGGAGCAAACCAGTTCACTCCCAGCTGATCATTGGAGCTACTGGTTCACCCAAACCTGTCCAAACGGGCTGAATCTCACCTCTGATTCTAGGCTGGTTCAAGTCTTGCCAGAATCATGAGAGTATCCATGAGAGCTAGAAACCCATTCATTTTCAGTCTCATATATTGGTTGCCACATAGACCTTCAAGTGGGAAGTGGCCTTTGATAATTTTCTCCCAGCGTGACTTAGCACAAACCGACTATTCTTTTCAGTCCACATGTTCTACTCCAAACATTTGCAAGCTGGTGATAAACCACAAAAGTGAAACTTAATGTATTTCTATGGCCATGAGGGACTGCAGGCTAAAAAAATACAATGAATGGTTGCAAGAACCAAGCATGGCTAGTCTAGTGAAGAGAAGGACCAGGGGAGACATAATAGCATCTTCCAATATTTGAGGGGCTGCCACAGAGAGGAGGGAATCAAGCTATTTTCCAAGGCACCTGAAGGCCAGACAAGGAATAATGGATGGAAACTGAACAAGGAAAGATTCAGCCTGGAAATAAGGAGAAATTTTCTGGCAGTGGGAGCAATCAACCAAAGGAACAGAAGTTGCTTTCAGAAGTTGTGCAAGCTTCATCACTGGAAGCTTTCAAGAAGAGACTGGACTGCTTTTAGAAAAGAAAGTAAGAGAGAGATATGGAACCCAGATGATACACTATTAAATGAAAAAAGCGGGAAGAGGGGGAAAATAGAAAAGAAATTATTAATATATAAGTATATGTTCAAGAATGAGACATAGTTGAAAAATAGTTGGGATATGATAGTGAAGAAAAAGGAGTGGGAAACAATAAGTATAAAGATATAACTGGACTTGCGGGAATACCATCCCAAAAATACACCAGTTAAGAGAGGAAAAGAGATAACCACAATAGAAAAGGAGAGGAAGAGAGGAGGAGAAGTATAGAGAGGAAAGGAGAGGGAAGGAAGAAAGAGGAAATGAGAGGAAGGGTGCAGTGGTGGGTTCCAAATCCCATTGCAACTGGTACACTGCAATGGGGCCCGGCATCCCCACATGCATACACACACCATACAAGCACATACGCACAGCACGCGGATGCGTCCTTACCACCACAATGCCTCCGCAACACTCCAGTTGCTTGGTGGAGTGTTATGAAGGCGCTGTACGCTCTGTGCACATACACGGAAGCGCCAAAGAGCTCAAATACAGGTAAGAGGCTCGGGCGGGTGGGTGGGGCACCAGTACGCCCCGGTACAACCCATCCCTGGAAGGGGGAGGGCTAGAAAGAGAAGAAGAGAGGGTAGGAAGGGGAAGAGGAAGAGAGAAGTAGGGGAGAGGTAAGGGAAGAAGGAAAGGGAAAGGNGGAGGGCTAGAAAGAGAAGAAGAGAGGGTAGGAAGGGGAAGAGGAAGAGAGAAGTAGGGGAGAGGTAAGGGAAGAAGGAAAGGGAAAGGAGAGGAAGACGGAAGAAAGTAGGGAATGAAGGGAGGGAGAAAAGGAAGGTAAATCAGGGTGGGTCATATTACAAATAGGTGTATGAGATAGTAAGCAAAGCAACCTTGATTGTATACTTCAACTTTCTATATGGAAAATAAATATGTGAAAGTGATAAATACAATAAGAATAATAACTATGTGGATGTATACTTGTAACTTTATGTAAGAGGTTAAATTTTTTTTAAAAAAAAGTTCCAAAAAAAGAGAGAAGAAAGTGGACCGCTATTTGTCAGAAATGGTGTAAGGCATTGATGGCTAGCCTTTTTGTTGTTGAGTGCAAAAAATGCACCTACAATGCAAAGTGCGCCCCCTCCCCCGTGCATGTGCTCACAACCTCCCCCACACTCCCCCTGTACATGCACCACACTGCTCGCCTCCAAGCTGAGCTTGGTATTTCCTCCAGGGGGCGGGGGGGCAGAGGATGCCCTTTTTGCCCTGCCCAGGGCCCAGGAGCCTGTGGAGGACGAAAAACCAGCCCGATGGGCCTACCGGAAGTTCAGAAATGAAGTTCTGGGGACTTTTCTGGAGCCTGGGGAGGGCAAAAATGCCCTCTGCCCCCATCCAGAGGCCCTCCAGAAGTCGGAAATTGATTGTTTCTGAACTTCTGGGAAGCCTGTTGAGCTTGTTTTTCACCCTCCCCAGGCTGCAGAGGGTTTCCTGGAGTCTGGGAGGGGAAAAAATGGCTTCCCCCGGCCTTCTGAAAAGCTGAAAATCAGCTGGTTGACACACACATGCGCACTGGAGCTTGTAGCTCATGTGCTGGCAGATATAACTCTGCATGCCACCTGTGGCACGGGTTTAGGGTCTTACAGGTTTAGGGTCTCCTGCTTGGGCAAGAGATTAGACTAGATGTCCTACAAAAATCTCTTCTAACTCTGTTAATCCGTATCTGTATCATGCTGACTGGAGGATTCTGGGAATTGTAATCCAAAGAACATAATGGAACTTTAAGGCTTTGGCTTTAGAATTGCATTCCTAAGCACACATACTGCTTAGCAGGCATACATTTTAAGGAGGGTATTCATATGCCAATTGGTAGAATCACTCCTAGTTTGGACCAGTCCTGTCTGAATTAACTATCCCCTCCCCTATCACTTAATTCCTCCTTACTTATAAACGACAAGGATCTGGATGAGAAAGTTGGAAACGAAGACCAGGAAGCTGCAGGCCGTATAGTAATTAAAAGATGGTAATGGTGAAAGCCGGTACTGAAAAAAAAAGAAAGAAAGAAAGAGGAAAATTGAGGAAAAAATTAAACAGCTAGTCCTCAGTTTACAACTACAACGGCGCCCAAAGTTTATGCTGCTAAGTGAGAAATTTGTTAAGGGAATTTGTTAATCCCACCTTGCCTCCATCCTTATCAGCAGAGACTCCCCTGGTGGCTGAGCACGTCTCCACTTATCAACGGGAACTTGGAAATGTTTGGATTGGGCTCCATAGATCATCTAACTTAACTCAGCCCTTATTTATCACCATTTTGCCATCTTTCTTGCCACATTCGTTAAGTGATTCACTGCAGTTCTTAAATGAGTAACGCTTATCGTTAAACGAATCTGACTTTCCCATCGGTTTTGCTCGTCAGAAACTCACAAAAAGGGGATGCTGCAACCGTCATAAATATCAACCAGTTTTCAAGCATCTGTTATGAAATGAAAATCACATGACCATGGAGATACTGCAACATTCGTAAGTGTGAAAAGTGGTCATAAGTCACATTTGTCAGTGCTGTTGTAACTTTGGAAGTTCACCAAATGAACTGTTATAAGTCGAGGTCTACTTGTTATCAGCAAATGGAAATATTGGTTCGAGATCATTGCGAGAAATGCCTTTGCGGTAGAATCTCTCGTCACCACCAGATTATGTATTTGGTGTTAATTCCTTAGACCTTTCAATATCAACATTTTAAATCAACAACAACAATTTATTATTACAGTCTTAGACCAGTGACCAGAACAAATAAAAACACTCAGTATATATATATACATTCTAGTTGTTGTTGTTAGTTGCGAAGTCGTGTCCGATTTATCGCGACTCCATGGGCAACATTCCTCCTCTACCTGTCCTCTATCATACTCTGGAGTCCCTTTAAGCTCACGCCTCCTGCTTCAGTGACTCCATACAGCCACCTCATTCTCTGTCATCCTTTTCTTCTTTTGCCCTCCATCTTTCCCAGCATGAGCCTCTTCTCCAGTCAGTCCTTCCTTCTCACTCGGTGGCCAAAGTATTTAAGTTTCATCGTCAGGATCTGGCCTTCTAAAAAGCAGTCAGGGTTGATCTCCTCTAGGACTGACCGGTTTGATCACCTTGCAGCCCAAGGAACTCGCAGGAGTCTTCTCCAGCACCAGAGTTCAAAGCCTCAATTCTTTGGCACTCAGCCTTTCTTGTGGTCCACCCTTCACAGCATACCTTGCAACTGGGAAACCATAGCCTTGACTATATGCACTTTGGCAGGGTGATGTCTCTTCTAGTACAAAACTTGTAGTACAAAATAATAAATAACAACTAAAATCTATAATAAAATCCAGTGTCAATTACACATGGTCTGACTATATAATAGTTGCAATCCCTAAACTGTGTGGCCTGTTTTAGGTTCAACCCTAAAAGGGAAGTTACTAAGCAGTGCAAAGGGTTTGCCACGATTGTTATATAACATCGCTATGGTGGAGAAGACATGTCTTTTTGACGAATCCCCAGTGCTACTGCACAGAAACTGGCCACCTGTGCAACATTTTAAAACATTGTTAATAGTGATTTAATAACTTCTTTTTAGCTTGAATGGAATATATCTAAATAAAGTGTTATAATAATCTCCGGGCCAATGTTGTAAAAAGAGCACTCTATCAAAATAATATATTGTATTATGCTTCTTTTAATGCTTGAACATTAATGAATAGTTACGATTGGCCTCTCCTCTCCACTTCTCTCCCTCAGGCTTGCCCTTTGATCCTCATCCCAGCCTGCAGGTCAGATGAGTCATGCACTGGCCACACCCATGGCCAAGTGGCAGTTGGATTAGAGTTCTTTTCAGGTGAGGAGGGGGAGTAGAACATCGGACTCCTTAGCATCAGAGTGTGTTAATAATAATAATATAAGAAATACTAATGTTCTGACGGTCATTTGGAAAAATCCTTCCTAAAGGAGCACCTAGAAGCTAAGAGGAACATACATGCCAAATGTCAAGTTTGTAGGCTTTACAGTTCATGGAGATTTCATGATGATGCGTGAGTGGTATTTCACTTTTATAGATAGATACATGATAGATAGAATAGGTAGGTAGGTAGGTAGGTAGGTAGGTAGGTAGGTAGGTAGGTAGGTAGGTAGGTAGGTGACAGAGATAGATAGATGATAGATAGATAGATAGATAGATAGATAGATAGATAGATAGATAGATAGATAGAT